CGACGTTTTGGACGACAACGACGACACCAAAGACGACGTGTCGTCTCTCGTCTCGGATGTGACGCCAAACGACGCAATCGACGTCCGGGCAGTGATTGGCGAAGAGTGCGCGCGACTCCTGAGCGGCTGTCAGCCGAAGACGTCTCGCGACCCTTTCCGCGCCTTTCTTCTGGATCTGAGTTTCGAAGAGTTCTTTCGCGACAAAAGCGCCAAAAATGCGGACATTTTGGTCGCGCGAGCGCTTCAATTGTTGCACAAGAAGACGACACTCGCGGACATCAGAAGAGACGGGTTGTCGTCTTTCTGTCGTCGGAGTCGTCGTCGCGATCTCGTGGACGCCGTTCTCTACGAAGAGATCCAACGGGAGGACAAACAGTGGACGCATTTCGGCGCAGAAGTCAAGGCCGTGAAGGAGAAGGTCGTCGACCTCTTGACCGAAGACCTGTTGCGCGAAGCAGTGCTCGAATTCCGCGCTCTTAATAAATGACGTAATTTTTGTACGAAAAATGGATTCTTGTATTGTTTTGAACGATATTTTGGACGAATTGCGAACCGAATTGTCGCGAGTTTCTCGAGAGCTCCGATTCGCCAATCAGTGCATCGAAAGCCTGTTTGAATTCAAACACGTGTTGGACGCCATCTGTCGGCGTTTCGGACAAACATTTGACACAAAACTCGCGAAAACTTTGAATGATTTGAATTCAAAACACGAAAGCCTTTTGCAAAGCGTTCGAAAAGAGACGCCATCTGTCGTCGCGCGCAGAAAGCAGTACTCGTTTGAGTGCCGTTTCGTTGGCTGCGGTTTCCGCACGAATCGCAACTCACGGCTCGTCGCCCATAGCAACCGTCACTCCGGAGAGCGGCCCTTCGCGTGCGCGCAATGCCCGAAGAGTTTCGTCGGGAGAGAGGCGCTGACCAATCACTGCCGAGTCGTCCACCAGAGGACAGCACTGCGCTGTGTGGCCGCGGAGTGCGCGCGACGGGCGCGACGTCGCGCGCAACGCCCTCTGGCGGCCGAACCCAAGACTGAGTTCTTGTGTTCGAAATGCGATTATAAGTCGAAAACACGTCAGGCTTTGAATCAACACAAAGTCGTGCACAACGAGAGGTTCGTCACGTGATTCATGTTTCACTTTTAAACCTCTTCTCCCGCGCAGAACAATGAAATGCGATTTCTGTCCAAAACTGTTCAAAAGTCGCAAACAATTGAAATGTCACGCGATTTCACACCAATTGGAGCCGCAATTCAAATGCGATCGCGAGACGTGTGGCGCCGCCTTTCGGACGCGCAAAACACTGCGAAACCACCTTTTGGTCAGTTTTTCATGTTTTCGAACGCTTTTCACACGCTTTTCCATTTAGAAACACGCGAACGCATGCGCAGCGCACGCCTGCCTGTGGCCGGGCTGTGACTTCCGCGCTCACGAAGAATGGCTGCTGAGAAGACATCTTTGCGTCCATTCGCAGGAAAAGCCGTTTTCGTGTTCGGAATGCGAACAACAGTTCCGCCGAAAGCACGCGCTGAACGCACACGTGCGGCGACGACACGCGATCACGTGATCTGAGAATGCATTCGAGTTTATTATAAATTAAAGAGAATTGAGTCGAAAATAAACGCCTTTTCTTTGCATCAACTGCTCGTGACTTCCGCTCTCCACCACTGCGCCCCTCTCCAGCACACAAATGACGTCAGCGCTCCTCACGGTGGACATGCGGTGCGCGATCACCAAACACGTCCTTCCCTTCGCCGCCTCCTCCAGCGCCATCTGCACGCATTCCTCCGAAGCCGTGTCCAGCGCAGACGTCGCCTCGTCCAGCAGCAGAATGCGAGGATCTCTAATGAGCGCACGCGCGATGGCGATGCGCTGCTTCTGGCCACCACTCAGTTGCGCGCCACGTGCGCCGACACGCGTTTCGTACTGCGAGGGCAGCGATTGGACGAAGTCGTGGACGTTGGCCATTTGGGCGGAGCGCACGATCGCGTCGAACGTGACGTCACGCGCGCCATAAGCGATGTTCTCTCTAATGGTTCCCGAGAAGAGCGTCGGCTCCTGCGACACGAGCGCCATCTGGCGGCGCAACCAATGCCTGTCCACCGAAGTGACGTCACGCCCGTCCACGTGGATGGCGCCGCGCGTGACGTCATAGAAGCGCTCCAACAGCTGCACGGAAGTGGACTTTCCGCAACCGGAAGCGCCCACCAGCGCCACCTTCTGGCCGCTCTTCACTTCGAGGGAGAGGCCGCGGAGGACGCGCGCTTCGGGGCGACCGGGATAATGGAAGTGGACGGCGGCGAACGCGACGTTCCCTTGGAAGTCCCGAATCTCACTTCCGGTCACTTCCGCCTCGCGACTCCTTCTGTCCAGAAGGCGGAAGATGTTGGCGGCGGAGATCTTGGCCTTGCGGTAGTCGGAGGTGAAGACCGAGGACTGACCGACGGTCATCGAGCCGTAGATCAGGGTTTCGATGATCACGAAGAAGTGACCGGAAGTCTCTTCAGGCGCGCTCTCTTCCTAAGGCGGCTTCTCCTTCTGTTACCTTATGCTCTCCTTCTGCTACCTGTCGCTCTTCCGCTCGTCGTCGCGCGCGCGGTGCGTGAAGGCCAGTCAGCAGGACACCTAGAGAGTGTGAGAATGCGGACACAGTGGTCAAGTGGTCAAGAATGCTTACTTCGCGTTCTCGTCGACGATTCGCTGGAATTGTTGTGAAAAGTGTTGTTCTCTTTGCAGCGAAATCACGGTTCGAATCGACGAAAGCGTTTCTATGGCAACCTTCGCCGCCATCTCGACGCCGCGTTTGTTGGCGCGCGCCGTCCAGTTGTCGACCGACGCGCCGATCGCAGAACCAATCAGAATGAAGGGAATGAAGACCATGGCGACGAGCGACAGTTGCCATGACAACACGAAGCCCAGCACGGCTGAGGCCAGGAACGTGGACAGCGCCTGGCAGATGATGGCCATCCGCGAACCCGAGGCCTAAGGACAGGACAGTTAGAGCGGTGTGAGTACGGCATGAATACTGACCCCTTGGACGTTGGCCGCGTCCGCCGAGAGCCGCGCGCAAAGAGCGCCGCAACTGTTGTCCGGGCGGTCGAACCACGTGATCTCCTGACGCAGGATCGCGTCGAAGGCGAGTTTGCGCAGTCGCAGAGTGAGGCGCTCGCCGGGGTGCGGCTCCTAGCAGTAGACGCTGTGTCTCTACCGCGGTTGCCGCTGCCGCTAGCGCTGCATTATCATCCGCTTGTGCACTGACGCGCGGGTCTAGAGCCGCGAGCAGAGCGAGACGCGCTTGTGCTCGACGAAGGCGCCGAAAATGAAGGCATAAATGGGGACAATGAGTCCGTAGAGGAGGGACAGCGCGAGACCCGCAACAATGTAGAACTTGTCGGCCGCGAAGAGCGCGAACAGCCGCTTCTGCGAGAACTTCTTCAGCGCCTCTTCCTCCAAGTCCACGCCCACCAACACCTCCGCCTCGTCCGCCACCTGATCCCCGCTCTCCACCGCTTCGCTCTCGTCCGCGTCCGTCACTTCCGGTTCGGCCGCCGCGCTTTGTTGGCGGACGAGCGCGTGATACACGCCTTTCCGCTCCAACAGCTGCGCATGCGTTCCCGTCTCGACCACGCGGCCCGTCTCCATGACGACGATGCGGTCGCAGTTGACCACAGTGGACAGTCTGTGCGCGACAACAACACTCGTGCGCCCTTTGGACGCTTTTTCCAACGCCGTCTGCACCACAGCCTCGGAGCGCGTGTCCAACGCAGACGTCGCCTCGTCCAGCAGCAGCACTTTCGGCGCGTTTATCAGCGCACGCGCGATGGCGATGCGCTGCTTCTGGCCGCCACTGAGTTGCGCGCCGCGGTCGCCGACGCGCGTGTCCCACCCTTGCGGCAGTTTCGCCACGAATTCCTTCGCGTTCGCCTCTTGCAGCGCGCGCTCCACGTCCTCGTCGTCCACGAGTTTCGAGTGCGAGCCCAGCGCCACGTTCTCCCTGATGGTCGTGTCGAACAGCGCCGGCTCCTGACCCACGGCGCCCATCTGTTGGCGCAGATATTGCACGTTCCACTCGCGCACATCCCTCCCCCCCACACTGACCACTCCCCCGTTCGCGTCGTAGAAGCGCTGCAACAGCTGCAACACTGTGCTCTTGCCGCTTCCGCTCGCGCCCACCAGCGCCACACTCTCGCCCTCTTTAATAGTCAACGAGAAGCCGTTCAGAACCTTCACTTCCGGTCGCGAGGGATACCAAAAGTCCACGTTCTTGAACTCGATCTCCGCCCTGATTGGTTCCGGCTTGACTCCTCCCTCTGACGTCACGTCGATGAGCGGCCGTCGCTCGATGGTGGCGAACACTTTGGCGGCCGTCGCCCGGGCAACGGCGATGCGGAGCTTCACGCCGCGGCGCGGGGGTTACCTCTTCGGCCGCGGTCTCTGCGTGGTCTTGTGCTACTGCTACCACGGCTACCACATCAGCGCGCTGAGGTCTTAGTAGACCTGCGGCTTGGTCTACGCGAGCGCGAGCCCCGCGTAGAGACACGCGAACATAAGCCGGCGCCAGAGACGCACCAGAACACGATGACGATGGTGCCGATGGTGTAGTCGCGCGACTCCAGAATCATCTGGACGCCGAACCAGATGCCGAGCGCGAGCCCCGCGTAGAGACACGCGAACATCAGGCCGTTCCCCAAACCCGTCATCAGGTTCCGTCGAATCCCGCTCCGCATCGCCGGCAACAGGTGGCGCTCGTAGCGCTCGCTCTCGTGCTGTTGGGCGCCGAACGCCACGACTGTGCGGATGCCGGCGATCGCCTCCTCGGCCACGCCTCCCGCCGCCGCGTACGCCTCCACCTCCTTGCGCGCGAACGTCGCCTGCACCTGAGGGGGGAGTGAGAGTCACGTGACACACACAACACACGGACAAACCTTGTTCATGACGGAAGTGCCGAACGCGAGGAACGGCAGCAGCGAGATGATGATGAGCGTCAGTTTCCAGCCGTAAACAAACGCGGTTGCTATGGCGATGAGCGCGGTGCTCGCGTTGTACACGGCCAGACCGAACTTCTCGTTCATGCCGTCCTCTATGCGCTTCAGGTCTCTATCGGGAGAGGAGAGTGAGCACAACAGACGACGACAGCGACACTCACGTGGTGACAGTGGAGGCGAAGGCCGTGTTGGCGTTCTGGTCGTGCCACGCGACCTCCTGGCGCAACAGCGACGCGAAGTAGCGGTTCTTTATGCGCCGGATCTGATTGTTGGCGGCGCGCGAGAAGAGCAGACAGATGAGGAAGTTGGACACGAAGTTGAGGATCCAGAGCGCGAGCAACGAATACGAGAAGAAGTAGACGTTGCGCAGGAATTCCGCGCTCTCCACTTCCGAGGCATTGTTGCGCGCGTTCCTCTCGAACGCGACGAACACGTCGACGACGTCCCCGAAGGCGACGGTCAGCAGATTCCAGGAGAAACCGGTGATTGTGGCGATTGTGGCGCCCAACACGACGAAGATGCGGTCAAAGGTGTCCGCGAATGCAAACTGTGAATGAGAGCGAGAATGAGAGAAGATTGAGGTTTAATATTGGACTCACGAGTTGTCGAATGGAAAGAGATTTCCGCGCTTTTGGTCTGAAATCGGAAAAAGAGTTAATTTTACGGAAAATTCGGTCAAAATCTCACGTTTTGTCGCTTTTCATGATTTCTTGGAAGAAAAATGCGTTTCAAATGAAAATTCAAGATTTCATTGAAAGTGAAGGACAACAATAAGAAAAGCGGAAATCCCGCGCAGGAGTCAAGGAGGGCCGGTTGCGCGCGTGCGCCCACACCTCCAATACCAGTCTCCACAACCACTCCAAGGATCTCCTATTCTTTTGACCGAAAATTCGCCGAAACTTCGACTTTAGGGAAGTTTGCGCGCAGAGCGCGTGCGCCGAGTGTGACGTCATGTTTAGAAGTGTTTATCAAAAGTACTCTTTATTTGAGTGCAAAAAATGTTTCGAAATCTCAAAACACTTCTCGTGACAAACAATCGCCGAATTATGTCCACAACGAGTGGTCAGAAACGGTTGGCGGACAAAGTAGCGATCGTCACGGCCAGCACCGACGGGTAACTGCTTCCTGTCCACTCCTATATAGTGTTCTCTTGTTCTCTCCTCAGCATCGGTCTCGCGATCGCCACCCGATTGGCCGAAGACGGCGCGCGCGTTGTGGTCAGCAGTCGGTCAGTGAGTCGGCCATCAATGACGTGTGCAATAACTGTGCTTTGCATTCAGGAAGGAGGCGAACGTGGAGAAGACGGTGCGCTCTCTGCGCGCGAAGGGACTCCAAGTGACGGGCGTCGTGTGTCACGTGGGCAATAAAGAGCACCGCCAGCGCCTGCTCCAGACCGTAACTCGTGTTTCGTAACTCTAGATCCACTCCTAACTCTCTCTCCCGCAGACTCTGCGCGAGTTCGGCCAAGTGGACGTGTTGGTGTCCAACGCCGCCGTCAACCCCGCGTTCGGCGCCTTCCTCGACGTCAGTTATGAAATCACGTGATTCTTTATAACGCTTCTCTCTTTCAGACTTCGGAAGAGGAGTTCGAAAAAGTAAGAAATCTCCGAAACCTCGCGCTCACACTCATTGTTGCCTTCAGATCCTTTCAGTGAACGTGACGTCAGCCTTCCTCTTGACCAAAGAGATCGTTCCCGAGATGCGCGCTCACGGGTCCATTGTTTACATCTCTTCCATCGGCGCGTATCAGCCGTGAGTATGACGTCATCCCCACCGTCAGTCACGTGACCCCCTCTCCCGCAGCTTCCCTCTGATTGGCGCGTACTCCGTGTCCAAAACGGCGCTTCTCGGCTTGACCAAGGCTGTGGCCAATCAGTGTAAGCCATTTAGAACAACAGCCAATCCCTGTCTCACTCTCCCCCGCAGGCGCCGCCCTCTCCATCCGCGCCAACTGCATCTGCCCCGGCATCATTCGGACCAAATTCTCGGACGCGTTGACCGGAAGTGAGGCCGCGATGGAAGAGATCGAGCGCGTGGTTCCGATGCAGCGAATCGGGGCGCCGGAGGACATCGCGGGCATTGTGGCCTTCTTGGCCTCCGACGACTCCCGATATCTGACCGGAGAGTCGATTGTTGTCGCGGGCGGACACTATTCGCGGCTCTAGACACGAGACGCCAATTGAGAGGCGATTTGAAGGCAATTTGTTGATAAGAATAAAATAGTTTTAGTTTTTAAATGTTTGTTTACGTTTCGTTGGTTTCCATGGAAACCAAAACACAAACAACAAAATGAAGAAAACGTTTTCTTCGAAACAAAGCGCGAAATTGCGACAAATTCTGGACAAAAATGAGACCAAAGTCAAAATGTTTGTTTACGTTTCGTTGGTTTCCATGGAAACCAAAACACAAACAACAAAATGAAGAAAACGTTTTCTTCGAAACAAAGCGCGAAATTGCGACAAATTCTGGACAAAAATGAGACCAAAGTCGCGAGAGTGGAATCGCCGGACACCAGGAGTCGATCGCTGGCCACGCGATCACGTGATCGTCTCCTCTATTCGCGCTTTCGGGCGATAAACGAGTTTTTGTATTCGCATTCAACGCAAGAATCGCGAGCTTTTCTCTCGAAACCATTGTTCGCCACTTATCACCAAATCTATCGACAAATCGCAGAGAAATGGCCGCAAAAACCCGTTCATCACGTGATCCGCCGTCTGGAGGTTTGTTTCGCATTAGAAAGCATTCCATTAACTCCTCTCTCCCTCGCAGACGCTTCCCGCCGACCACGTGATCGCAGACATCGGTTGCGGAGAGCGCGCGCTCATTGGCCAACACTTCCCCGAACGCATTGTCCACTCCTTCGACTTGGTCTCCGCCGACAGTCACGTGACGCGCGCAGACATGGCGTCTCTGCCGCTGCCCTCCGCCTCGTGTGACGTCACAGTGTTCTGTCTGTCGCTAATGGCGACGAATCTCAAACACTGTCTGAAGGAAGCGAATCGAGTGATGAGAGCCGGAGCGCGACTCCTCATTGTTGAGGTGACGTCACGGTTCGAGGAGACGTCTGTCGCGGCGTTCGCGCGCGCAATGCGCTCTTTCGGGTTCCGGTTGCGCGCGCAACGCCACCTCTCGGACGACCAGTACTTCGTGTTCCTCGAGTTCGAGAAGAGCGGCGATTGTTGCGAAACTCCGCCCGACGTCAGCCTCAAGGCGTGTCTCTACAAGAAGCGGTGAAGTTGTGAACGCGCGGCAGTATTGTTGCAATCATTTGAGTTTTTGGAAATAAATTTATTCAAACTAACAATACGTGATGTCTGTGGAGAACGCGCCGCAGATCCGCATCTCCTTCTCGCTCAGCAAACAGTACATTCGCTGCGGAGAGTCACGTGACCACTGGTGCGGCGCTTTGGCCGCCGCGCGCACAATGAACTCTTTGGCCGTCGCTTTCGGCCAGAAGTCTCTTCTGTCGCTCCTCTCGCCGACTGTCGTCTCTTCCTCGTATTGGTGGCGCTCGCAGTGGCGGAACAGCGCGCGCACCACTTCCGCCTCTGCGCTCAGACTCGAGAATTCCATTTCCGGTTCGGAAACCAGTTTTCGCGCCATTCCTCCCGAAACGCCATTCCCGCACGTGACCAACTTCCGCTCCAACGCCTTCACTCGCAATATTGTTGTTTCCGCGCGCGACAACTCAAAGATAAACGCCTCCATTCCCGCGCTCTCGTATTTGGCGATCAGAGCGCGCGACTCTTCTGCTCCCAATCTGTTGACGGTTGTCATGACGACCAGCGGTTCCAACAGTTCCACCGCTTCACTCGTTGAGCGCAAAACGCCTCCATTCCCGCGCTCTCGTATTTGGCGATCAGAGCGCGCGACTCTTCTGCTCCCAATCTGTTGACGGTTGTCATGACGACCAGCGGTTCCAACAGTTCCACCGCTTCACTCGTTGAGCGCGCGTCCAACCAATGGAACACCTTCTCTGCGTCGCGCGTGAAGTCGAAAAGCGGTTTCTGGCGCTCGACAGGTGTCGCGGCACTCGTTTCCCACAACTCGCGCCACACGTTGTCTTCGGTTCGAAACCTTTCGCTCAGAGAACACGTGGTTTCGTCGAAGTCTCGCGGAGAATGCCAGCGAATGAAGTCCTCGAACGTGACGTCACAGCCGTTCGCCGCTTTAAAGGCCGACATGTCTGAGCACAGGGATTGGCTCTGGAGGCGCGCGCGCACTCTGGCGCCGTCGCCCTCGGCGGCCAAGCGCTGCAAAAGCGCCATCTGCTCGGCGACCATGTCTTCGGTGACGGGAGGCGTGTCCTGAGTCTTCGGCACCAAAAGCGCTTTCTTCGGGTTTCGCAACAAATAGAGAGCGCGACACTGAGTGGTCGTCTCTTCTGACGTCTCCGCTGTCGTCGTGTCGTCACAGCAGTCGAAGAACTCGTCGTTCTGCTCTTCGACGCGCGCGAGAATGCATTTCTGCAGAAACTGCAACTTCTGGTGCAATAAACAGCGCTTCAAATCGGGAGAACACGTGACGTGTGGCAGTGGACGCGCGCTCTCCCAATAATGTCTCAGTTTTGCACACATTTCGCGCCAAAAAGCGCTCAAAACTTCTTCGGATTTCTCTTTCGACAAAATGTTCAGAAAATTGGTCGCAATTCGCGCCGCGAGACTATTCATAGGCGCGCTCTTCATGTCCGGCCATTCTTGCGCTTCCATTTCGTGCTTTTCGTCGAAAACCCAGCTTTCGATCAAATTCAGCGCCGAATCCATTGATGACGTCATTTCGCGCGGATTCTGGGCCAACAATGCCATCGCTCGCAGTGAGCGCGTGAGCGGCCCGTCGACGTCGCGGAACAGCGCCCTTAGTGTCCAGAGGGGGGCGGAGTCGGGAATGAGGTCGGAATGGATGTCCGAATCGATGACCACTTCTTCGCACACTTCCGGCCACAGCGCCGCCATTTGCAACTCCAACAGCGGCTCGTTGTTGTCTTCCTGCCATTCCGGCGGCCATTTTGTCACCGAATAAGTGATTCGAATCGAGAGTCGAATCGGAATTGAATTCGAATTCACTTTTCGTCGAAAAACAGTTAAAAGCGCCGAAAGGTTGCGAAACGGTTTCGTCACGTGATTCGCGTGTATCACGTGATAATCGACGCGAAAGCCGTTCTCGAGTTTGACGCCAAAGAAGGCGTTTCTCTTCGATGGCGACAACTGGACGAAAACGGGAAGCGCGCGCGCAGTGGACGCCAACGCCATCGTCACGCCCGACAGCAGCAGAAGCGCGCGATCCTCCGAAGCGATGGACGCGTCGTTTTGCGCGCGAATCACGAGAAAGCGCTTCTCTCCGAACCAACGCTCCAAACAATGACTTCGCGGCCGGAAGTCGCGCTCAGATTCGGCTGCAATGAAACGCAATTCAAACCAAATGCACAGCCAATCAGAGACTCACTTCCTTCGTGGTGGCGAACGCTCAACACGTGACTCGACATCCTGACCACGCCTTCCGTCCAATCAGAGTCGCGCAACACTTCCTCGAAGTGCGCCGCAAACGTCTCGAGCGCTCCGATTGTCGTGAAGTCCGAGATCTCAAACACTTCGCCCATTGTTGACACGACCAGTGCTGCCATCTGTGGCCTCACACACCACGTGACTCGCATGATGGCAGTGAAGCGCGTGTTGAATGCGCTCTATTCGCCGAAGTGGTTGATCGCGACCAACACGACGACTGGCGCCCTCTTTCTCGGCGCCGGAGATCTCATCGAACAGCAGCTCATCGAACGCCGTCTTCTGCTCCGCGCGCAACACTTCGACGCAAACAGAACTCGTATTTTGAATCACTTTTCAATTCATTTTTCTAACATTTTGTCCGCTTTTCAGTCGGAATGACTTTTACGGGAATTTATTTCGGATTTTGCGGACATTTTTGGTACAAATTCCTCGACAAGCGCTTCCCGTCTTCGGCGCGCAAACACCTGCTGAAGAAGCTGTCGTGCGAGGCGGCCATCGGTCCGCCATTCGGCGCTTCCGTCTTCTTCATCGTCGGCCAATGGGAAGGAAAGCCCGTTCGGCAAAGTCTTCGCGAACTGCGCGCCAACCTCGCGCTCCTCTGCCTCGTGAGTGTTGTGAGCCTCTACTCCTCCCCCACTGACCCTCTCTCCCCCTTCAGGCCGACTGGTGTTTCTTCATTCCTCTCCAGACCTTGAATTTCGTGTTTCTTTCGCCGAAATTCCGGATTCTCTTCGTTTCCGTGATTTCCATTTTTTACGACACTTTTCTCTCTTATATTCTCCACACGACGACAGATGGCGACACAACTCAGCCTTAATTGTTGTCACGATTAGTCAATAAATAGTCACTAAATGTAAATTGCATTCAATTTCTCGACCAAAGGGGCGAACAATAGTTGAGACGTTTTTCATGTCGTAATTTGTGTTCACATTTGTGTCGTCTTTGAAAACATGAATTCTTTGACACGAATCGCGATTCAGAGTCTCTTTCTGCGGACGCGCTGTCCTCTGGCGGCCGCCAAGCGGTCAGTGATCGGCACTTCTCACGCCTCGCAGCGCGACGACGAGGTCTTCACTTCCAAACTCAGCGGAATCGACGCCGGAGTTGTCGTGAGTGTCGTCTCGAACGTCGCTGTCGTCTCTATTGTTGTTTTGATCCGCAGGTGTTGTCTCTGAACCGCCCGAACGGCGCGAACTCTCTCTCGCGAGGAATGGCGCGACTTCTCAACGAGAGTCTCTACCAGTTGTCGAAGGACGAAGAGCTGCGCGTTCTCATCATCCGCTCGACGGTTCCCGGCATCTTCTGCGCCGGCGCCGACCTCAAAGAGCGCGCGACGATGCCCGAGAAGGACATCCCGCCCTTCGTGGCCAAACTGCGCGCCATCGCGAACGCCATCCACGACTTCCCGTTCCCCACCATCGCCGCGATCGACGGCGCGGCCATCGGCGGCGGCCTCGAGTACGCGCTGGCGGCGGACCTGCGCGTCACCGCTTCCAACGCGAAGATGGGATTGGTGGAGACGAAGCTGGCCGTGATTCCGGGCGCGGGGGGGACGCAGCGGCTCTCGCGCCTCATTCCCCTCCATTTGGCGAAAGAACTCATTTTCACCGGACGTCTCATTGACGGCCACACCGCGTATCAGATCGGAATTGCCAACTATTCGGTCGAACAGAACGCCAATGGCGACGCCGCCTACCGGCGCGCCGTCAAACTGGCCGAAGAGATGATCCAGAACGGGCCGGTGGCGCTCAAGGCCGCCAAAGTGGCCATCAATCGGGGCAGTGAAGTGGACCTGCAGTCGGGACTGGCCATAGAGGCGGCGCAACACACGCTCACTGTCGGCACGAAGGATCGCATCGAAGGGCTGATGTCCTTCAAGGAGAAGCGGAGTCCGAAATATCGCGGCGAATGAATTACGTCAATAAAATAGTAGAGTTTTAGCGAACGTCGTTTGTGTCTTTGCTTGTGGCCTTTTTGCCACAACGCGCCCAACGCTGCGCGAATACGAGGCGCGTATGGAAAGGTCCTAAAGGCGCGATTAGAGCAGCGCTGCTTCGCGTGGAGATGTCGAAAGCGCCGAACGATCCGCTGACCACTTTCAAGCTGGTGGTGGTGGGCGACGGCGGCGTCGGGAAGAGCGCGCTCACCATCCAGTTCTTCCAGAAGATGTTCGTCACGGACTACGACCCCACCATCGAGGACTCGTATCTCCAGCACACCGAAGTCGGTCTGTATTCGCGCTCCTCATTGGTCGTTGTCTCACTCTTCCCCCGCAGACGCCGAGTGGTGCGTTCTGGACGTGTTGGACACCGCGGGTCAGGAGGAGTTCTCCGCAATGCGGGAGCAATACATGCGCAAAGGTAGGCGAAGTGGTCTCGCGGCAACTGATCTCATTGTTTGCCGTTTCCCAGGCGACGGCTTCCTCCTCGTCTATTCGGTGACCGACAAGCAGTCGTTCGAAAACATTCGCCATTTCTTCACTCAAATTCTTCGCGTCAAAGACCGCGACTCTTATCCCATGCTTTTGGCCGCCAACAAAGTGGACCTGGTCCATCTGCGCAAGGTCACCGAGGAGCAGGGCCGCGAGATGGCCGCGCAACTCAAGGTCAGCCATTGTTATTGCTGTCACCCCTATAGTTCTTATTGACCGATTGAGCCTTAGGTGCCGTACATCGAGACGAGTGCCAAAGACCCGCCCCTCAACGTGGACGCCGCCTTTCACGAAGGTTTCCGTTCTCTTTGATTATTGTCTTTGATTCTAATGATTATTGTTTTTATGGCTTTCGGTCATCAGTCGTGCGAATCATTCGAAATCAACCCCAAAATGGAGACAAAAGACGGAAAACATGGTTCAGAAGAAGACAACGCAAGAAGTGTCACATCACGTGATCGACCGCTGAATGGCTTTTTATTTAATTTCTGTGTTTTTGTCTTTTCTCTGAAAATGGTTTCGATTTTCAAAACTAAATTAAAATTAATATAAATCTAAATCCGACTCAAAGTTGCCTTTTGTGTGAGACGTGAGGCGCCATCTGTCGCGTGTTTGGCAGTGAAGAGCGACTCAAAGGCTGATTATCAATAAAATGGCGAAAATTTTACGTCAAAAAACTCTTTGAATGTTTGCGAAACCTCTTCGACGGCAAGTGTTGGCAAATGTCGCGCACTTTCGCCGGTCTTTCGGGCACTTATNGATTATCAATAAAATGGCGAAAATTTTACGTCAAAAAACTCTTTGAATGTTTGCGAAACCTCTTCGACGGCAAGTGTTGGCAAATGTCGCGCACTTTCGCCGGTCTTTCGGGCACTTATAACGTGAGGGCCAACGAATTGGCGCTCCAGAGGAATACAAAGACCGTTCGATGTCTCGTCTACTTCTTGGACGACACGCAACACGTCTTCGAACTCGACGTAAGTCTTCGCCTGTCTTTCACTCTCTTCAATGATCTGTTCTGCAGAGACGCGCCAAAGGAGACCAACTGTTGGATGTGGTGTTCCGTCATCTGGAACTCATAGAACGTGATTACTTCGGCCTCCAGTTCACCGAAACCATTGCCCACAGCGGACACTCCAATGCCGTCAGTATTCACGCCTCCTTTTCAACCCCTAACGCCCCCTTTTGTTGCAGCGATGGCTCGATCCCAACAAACGCCTCCGCAAACAACTCAAGTCTTCGCGCGCGCCGTTCCTCCTCTTCTTCAAAGTCAAGTTCTATGTGACGGATCCGTCGCGACTGCTGGAGGAATACACGCGTTACCACTTCTTCCTGCAGATCCGCAAAGACATAGTGAGCGCGCGACTCGTGGCGCCGTCGGCCGCGTTGGCGCTCCTCTGAAGTTCTATGTGACGGATCCGTCGCGACTGCTGGAGGAATACACGCGTTACCACTTCTTCCTGCAGATCCGCAAAGACATAGTGAGCGCGCGACTCGTGGCGCCGTCGGCCGCGTTGGCGCTCCTCTGCTCGCTTGTGGTTCAATGTAAGGTTCGTTGACCTTTGAATGAGAATAATAGCTGTGAATGCCTTTCAGCGGAATTCGGGGACTTTTGCGCCGAAGAACACGATCCGCAATACGTCTCGCGCCTGAAACTAGTGCCGAACCAAAGCGCGGACTTCGAGGAGAAGGTGTCTGAGCTGCACGCTCTCCATAGGGGGCAGACGCCGGCCGACGCCGAACTCAACTTCCTCATCCGTGCGTTTCCATAGCGACTGCCGTCAATCTAATAGCTCTCTCTCCGTTGCAGAGGCGAAGGCGCTGGACATGTATGGCGTGGAACTGCACAAAGCGAAGGACACGAACGGCCGCGAGATCCAGATCGGCGTCTCGGGCTCCGGCCTCTTGATTCTGCACAACGGCCAGAAAGCGAATCACTTCTCGTGGGCGAAGATCGTCAAAATCTCGTTCAAAAGACGCCATTTCTTCGTCCAGTTGCGACGCGAGGGCGTGAGTCCATTGTTGACATTGTTAGCACTGATTTGAACTGAATTAACACTGAATCAATAGACGGAGCGCTTCGACGCGTTGTTGGGTTTCAACTCGTGTTCGTATCGCACGTGCAAATCGCTGTGGAAGGCGTGCGTCGAGCAGCACACCTTCTTTCGGCTCCAGACGCCCAAACCGCACACCAAGAAGTTCTTCTTCTTCTTCAGTCTCGGCTCGCGGTTCCGGTATTCGGGAAAAACCGAGTTCCAGACTCTGGAAGAGAACCGCAAACGTCTTCAGCGCACAGACCGCACGTTTGTGAGAACGGCGCGCTTCCACCAGACGGTGCCCATCCCGCACATCAACAATCTCATGCTCTCGCTCTCCAACGGACAATCACGTGACAGCTTTCAATCCAATCGCATTCAAAGTACAGAATCTCCGGCGAAGAGCGCGTGGACCGCTTCGTCGCCATTTTGTCTCAAGTCGCTGCCTTTCATCGACAAAGAGGAGACCAACAGATTGTCGTCGCTCTCCGACGACTCGTCGCCCGTCCACCTGCACACCGTTCACATGCGGCCCGACGCGGACGGCCGCTTCGGCTTCAACGTGAAGGGCGGTCACGACCAGAACTGTCCGGTTCTCGTGTCGCGCGTCGCGCCCAACACGCCGGCCGACCTCGCGAACCCGCAGCTGCGCGAAGGCGACCAAGTGATGGCCATCAACGGCTCCGACGTGTCCGGCCTCTCGCACGAGCAGATCGTGCAGTTGATCCGCTCCACGCGCGGCCCCGACGCCCAACTCTCGCTCTCCATTCGCCCGAACGGTAATCCCATTGAAAGTCAACTTCCCCGCTAACTCTCTCCCCCTTAGTGTACGCGCGCGACGCTCTGCTGCCGGAAGAGCCCGCCTTTCAGTACATTCCTGCCGACGCCTCGCCGACAGCGCGTGCGGACGCTTTGGCCGAATCGATGGCATTGTTGGCGGAAGGCCTTGACAGCGGAAGTCTGGTTCTGCAGTTCGAGGTTTGAATCGCTGTTTCTCGCTCTCAATCTCATTGTTATTGATTTGACAGCAATTGAATCGCAAGAAAAGCGGCGAAACCATGAATTGCGCGCGACTTCCCGACAACCTCTCCAAGAACCGCTACCGCGACATCTCGCCCTGTGAGTCATTGTTATTGTTATCACAATCTCATGCCATCTCTCCGCAGACGACTCGACGCGCGTCGTTCTGCGCGACGCTCTGTCCGGCGATTACATCAACGCGTCGTTCGTGACGATGCACGTGACCACCACTGGTGTGGCCTTGAGATACATCGCCACTCAGGGACCGCTCAAAGAGACCACAGAAGACTTCTGGCAAATGGTTTGGGAACAGCAGTCGGCGCTCATCATCATGGTGACGCCTCTGGAGGAGAAGGGACGCCAGAAGTGCCACAAATATTGGCCCGAAGAGGCGGACGACGAGTTGGCCGTTTTCGGCGCGCTTCGCGTGCGTCTCGTGCAACAGAGCGATTGTTTGGCGACAATTGAGCGCATCTTTCAAATCACGGATTCCAAGGTTTGATTGCAAAAAACACAACACGTGTAACAATGCACATCTCTCGCAGACGCAGGAGGAGCGACGCGTGCGCCACCTGCAGTACCTGGCGTGGCCCGACCACGGCGTTCCCGAGCGCGACAACGACTTCCTCGATCTCATAGTGTCTGTGCGCGAATTCCGGGCGCAGAGTTCGCAGCCATTTGTGGTGCACTGTTCGGCGGGCATCGGGAGGACAGGCGTCCTGATCCTGATGGAGGCGGCGATGTGCGCGATGGAGGCCAACGAGGCGATCGGGGCGCTGGAGCTGGTGCGCGTGATGCGCGAGCAGAGGGCCATGCTCATTCAGACGTCGTCTCAGTTTCGGTTCGTTTGCGAAGCGCTTCATCGCGTGTTTCGCGACAAAATCGTCGAACCGTTGCCTCAATTCAGTATTAATTGTAATTCTAGTCATTAGCAAACCTTTTGTATATAATTTCATTACAATAAACACATTATTCACACGAGAGTTAATCACAATTCAAAATGCCGAACGAACGAGTCAATTCTCCTTTCATTCAAACCTTTCGTTCTCTCGACCAACGGATCCAATGTCTCGAAAAAGAGAGCGAGGAGTTGCGCCGCGAGTTGTTTCGCTTGAGAACCGCACACGGATTGGATCCGAATCGCGGCAAAATAGTGGTCAGAACCGACGACAACACACTCATAGTGGAGGCCGACGTTCGCCAACCGATTTCGGCGCTCAAACAAAGAGTACAACGAATGGAGAACTCGGACGAAGAGTCGACGGTTTTTGTGTCGAACCGCGCGCTCGAAGACCACAAATCGCTGGCAGACTATGGCGTCGTCCGACTCGTGAATCCTGTGCTCGTGTTTGTGGTGCGGAAACGGCTGCGACTCGTCGTGAGGATCGACAGCCGGCAGTCGTGTTCTGTGCAGACGTCGGCCGCCGAAACCGTCGGAACAGTTTTGGCGCGGATTCTGCGCAAAGAGGCGTTCGATTCGAAAGATCTGATTCTGTGTTTCCGGAACCGCGCGCTCGAAGAGAGCCAAACATTGTTCAGTTATCGCATAAAAGACGGAAACTTCGTGTTTCTCAACACTAAACGCGAACTCAAGTGTCGCGAGAGTTCTCTCAATAAATAAAAGCAGTTTTGAACACTTGTGCGCGAATCGAGGCGTTTCTCATTATTGAAACTCCTTTTTTATTCTCTTTTCTGTTTTGTGTTTTAATTTTTTAGTCATTTCTGAAAATGATTTCCAAAACGAATGTCTTTTTGTTTGTAATTCTCTTCACTTTCGGTGAGTTTTCTTCTTTGTTGTATTGTTTTAACGCTCTTTCAGTCAGAAGCGAAGAGAGCGTCGATTTCGAGTCCATTTCTCCCCAACTGTTGGACGGAATGACCAAACATTTGACGGAAAACATGAATTCCGATCAAATCCAACAGTTGCTGTTGACCACAATCCAACTGATGACGTCGATGGCGGAGAACGGCGACTTGAGTTCGCGACAACTCATGGACTCTTTGACCCAAGAGTTGAAACAACGAGAGCTCTCGGAAGAAGAAGAAAGCAAAGATAATTAATGTTTCGAAACACATGTTCAATAAAAAGCAATTTTGAAAGTTTATTCAACTTTATTCCGATTTTATTCATTTTTGCAAATGTTTTCCACTTTAAAAGAGTGGAGAAAACGAAAGAATGGAAACATTAGTGAAAAGAATATTCGAAATGAAACTTCTGGTCATTCTTTGTGTCGTTTGCTTCTCCAACGGTAATTCCATTCAAACACAATCCCTGTCTCACGTTCTCTTCCCCCCAAAGCGGAGAACAACTTCCACGTGAAACAGGTCTGGGACTCGATGTTCGGGACGGCGAACGGCTTCTGGTCCAACGTTCAGCCGGCCGTCAATTCGGCCACAAACGGCTTCAACGCCGTCTCCAATCTGTCGCACGTCGTCACGAACACCACTTCCAATGTGATGAACTCGAGTTCGGGCGTTGTCCAGAGTGTGGTCGGCAGCACCGATCTGCTGACCAAACCGCTGGTCAACACAATGAACGAAACCGTGAATTTGGTCAACGAATCGATTAAACCGAACAAAACCAAAATTAATGAACAATAAAACACTTTTTTTGCTAAACTCTGAATAATTGGTTGTTTTGAAACTCCGCCCAAAAACTAAATCAATTGCAATAAAAAGCGACGAATTTCTCGTAAATTTTCATTCAAAATGTCTTTCAAAACAACAATCACTCTTCTTCTCGCTCTCCATCTTTCAAACGGTATTTCCAATTCAAATCTCTTCCCAAACCTCACGCTCTCTGCATCCAAAGCCAAAAGTCCGCCTCAATGGCACCAAATGGTGCTGTCGTTGCAGTCGATGATGAACTCGGCTCAAGACGTCATTTCCAACTCCGCCGTCGGCGTCAATAACGTGATGGGAAGTGTTTCGGGCAATGCTGTGGACACCGCCAACACTGCCGTCAATATGGCCTCGAATACCATGAATTCCGGGACAGGAGTGGTTCAGGAGATGACCGGCGGAACCGCTCACACCTTCAACGGTCCCGTTGTGTCCACTTTGAACGAGACGCTGAATCAGGCGTCAAATGTGTTGAATATTAAGCCAAATGTTACCAAAGATTGAAATAAATTGTAAAATTACTAAAAATGCGTTTTCTTTCAAATAATTATTCTTCGCGAGAATTCTCGAAATTCTTATTTCTTTTAATGATTTGAATAAACGATTATTTATTCACGAAAACGAAACCAATTGTTAATTGTGTTAATCGAAATTAAATCAGATTTTGTTCCCATTTTTGGGACACAAATGTCGTGAAAAGCTTTCAAACATTTGTTGAGTTCTTTGACTCGAAAACTCCGCCCAAAACTCAATCCATAAAAACGTTTTGCTTTTCGTTATTAACTCTCATATGAATCGCAAAATCTGTACAAAAATGCGTCAAAACTTTCTTTTCGTCTCTTTTCTCCTACTTTTGGGTATTTCTAACCGTTTCTTGAATTCAAACTCTAATTGAAATCAGTTTCAGGCGTATTGTTGGCCTCGAGTGACGGCGATTCGCAGAGCGGCAACAGTTCGTCCAACATGTTGGACATCAACGGCTGGTTGTCTCAGTTGTCGGCCATTCCCCACATGATCACGAATA